TCAATTCCCTTTGTAGCAGTTCCTATTGCATAGAGTTCCTAATGTTGTGTTTAATTTTCTGTTATAAACAGTTGATATCAAACTCTTTAAAACATGAAAGTATTGAGACAATACTTTTCATCAAAAACTGTTTTTGTTATTAAAACATCTTTTATCATGCCTCATTATGTTGTTCAATTGTTTCTTCTATAGTTGCTACTCCCCTTCCAGTCTATCTATCCTTTCTTTTTCTTTTTTTTTATTGGGACTTTGAGTCTATCTATCCCTTATTCCTGCAACAATTGTAGAGTTTGTATTTAGAAATAAAATGAAAAAAGAAATTGTCAGTTATAGTAAAAAATTATGATTAGGAGACTCACAGGTATTAGTTTGGGAAATTTTTTTGGCCAATCTATAAGCTTGGAAAATGTTTTTTCCAATTAAGCCATGACTCCAATTGCTAGAAAGCACTAACAGTTACATCCTTCAATTACAAACAAATATTAGCTAAAATAATTGCAATAAAAGCACAAATATGAATAGAATTCTATTATGCTCTTTTCCCAGTTAAAAAGGCAAACTCAAACTTAAAAATTCTTCAGTTTGCCTTGGTTCCATATAACCATGACCCTAAATTCCTATTATAGGTTTATGAACTCTCTATTATAAGCTTAGAACATAAACATGCTTTATGTTTTTTGTTTTTAAACACTCATGAGAAACAAAATAACATTTAAAAAAAAAAAAGTAACAAACAAAACTTTCTCTGGTTCAAGGTTTCCATCCTCTATCAACTTTCTCTCTTTCTCCTGGATGAAACTAATAGCAACCAAAATTGAATTTTGCTACTTGTTAAATTAGGCCTACAAATATAGTGCGCTTACTCAATAAACCTAAATTAATTTAGGTGTCATCCCTCTTTATTGTGCACTTGAGTCTATCAAAGATAAGACATGTAACTTAATTTAATAATAATCCCTCTCTTCTTCTTTCTCTCCTTCTCCTTTTTTCTACTCCCTTATAGTCATTACTTTGCAATATTGTTATTTGTTTACTAATATGAGTCCACCTATACCATAGTATAGATGTTCTATCTAATTTGTGTCTCTCTATCGATTCTGTAGCTATAGCACTCTCCTACATGTCTCTCTATCTCCAGAAATGCCTTAATACATGTAATTATCAATGTTACACTTCATATTTCAAACCATATTCCCAAATAGTCACAAACTTGATTCTAAATTCCATTCTATAAGAGAATCTACATATGCCTCATAAAAAATAAATACATCACCTTCATGAATTTGTTCATTCATATGCATCATAAAAAATAAATACATCACCTTGATGAATTTGTTCATTCATATGCATCATAAAAAATAAATAGTATCTTGTAAAAAGATCTCGAAGGAATTTAGTCATATCTCAAAATGAGATTCTTCTTCCATGGAACTTGCTAGAAAACTCTTCAGTTCACCACCAGATTCTCAACCATCGTTTTGCTTCCTCTCCATTAACCTCTCTTCTTTTGATCTACATGAAGAGCAGAGAGCAAGATCAACCTAGCACAAACTATTTTTTCCGTAATGCACAAACTATTTTTTGCCATGTAGGTGAGGAAATTTGTTGGACATTGTTGCTAGGAGCAGTTGCTGACTTTCACATCAAAACCTACATCAGCGTTATCCTAGATGCCTTTTCTGGGTCTATGAGACAGAAAGACAAAATGAACTTTAGAAGGGTGTCCATTGAAAGCAGGCAATAGGAAGTTCATATTACAATGCTTGCCCTTCATGAGCAGAAAGCATACTGAAACATGAAAAGAGGGAAAAAATTTAGTTAGTTTGAGCTAAAAGGAACTTGTAATAGAACAAACCCTTGGCTAGGATTCAAAATTTCAAAATGGCTACGAATCTAAACAAAATTTAAAAAACTTATAGCTAAATTTAATAAAAGTTAAACTGAAATCAATTTGTTAACTATTTCTCATGCTCTAGAAGGCTATTAACTAATTCTAATTGTTTTTCATAGATAAACTGAAAAAAAAAAAAAAATCAACTTTTCTTGAGGGAGATTTTAACCTTATGCTTGCTTTTAATGATATTTGGTCATTAGTTTAAGGATAATAATCTTGACATCTAGGAGAAGCTAAGATGATTTGCAATTAATGGAGCATTTAAGACTATTTTCTCCATTACCTCACCTGCTTTTTGATGTTACAGTTTAATATATAAGCTTTAGCTGTTTGTTAATAACAGAAAAACCAACAAAATGCTGCCTGGCCTCTCATAACTGATAGGCAGTTGCTGTTCTTCATATCATTGTCCACTTGAAAGTCAAGTTCCAAGAATATTATATAGAACAAACATAATAGATGCACTTGAATCAAAATGAAATAATATTCAACTAAAATGAAAAGCATGGTAACCAACCTTGCATTAAAAATAAAAATGAAAGGAAAATAATCGCAAAGTAGAGAATGCTAGACATACCAACTTCACATCTGCCTGTGCATGGCAGTAGTTATGTTTTCATGCTTCTTCCATATATGATAATCATTACCACCTAAAAAGATAAAAAATTTTCAAAAGCATTGTAAGTTCATATTTTTTTACTTAATGCACATGAAAAGACATAGCAAATAATAACCCCTGTTTATTTCCCAAGTAAACACAACCAAAACTCAGAACAACAAGATATATACACTTCAATCCTATTCTTTTCCATTTTTAACGACTCTAGAAAGATGAAACTTGTCCTTCTTTCTGAAGTTTTTCCTAAAGAGAAAAGAAACCCAAAATTCAAAATTCAAACTCTTCTTCTCTTTGTTACCTCAGCAAGCAAGCATGACGCAAAAACCTATCTTTTTTCACCTAAGAGAAAACAGAATCAACCCTAACCCAAATGCATTTCAATGTGGTGACCCTTTTTGGAAAGTGAAGAGAGTTCAACATCATAAAGGTATCCAATTACTTCTGAAAGTGCTGATATACTCTCTTCCCTTTTTCATTTCTATTTAATGAGAGCAAGAGGAATTCTTCTTGTAAAAAATTTAGCAAAAAAGAAGCAAGAGGAATTCTCTTTGTAGTTATGAAAACAATAGAGAACCAACCAATCAAATTCTGAGCGAAAATAGCTAGCAACTCTTTACCTCTTATTTTCAGAAAACAAACTAATAGCAACCAAACCGAAAATGGAGATTAGAAAGGAAGAATTAGGGATTTGGGAAAGAATTTAGAAGAGAAGCAGAAGGAGGAAAGAAGATGTTACAATCCATTTATCTGTGCTGGGCTAGAAATATGGGTCTATTTGTTAAGGAGTTTGTTGAGGCTTATAATTGTAATTGCCCTTATATAAGGGATGACTTTGTAACTGAAAGTCTTTTGACTTATGAATACAAATAGACTTTCCTCTTCCTTCTATGTCCTTCTTGATTCTCCCTTCTAATCTCTATCTCCTTCTTCTTCTTGAATCTGTTTCTCTTGATTCTCCTTCTAATTCTTCTTTCTAATTTCTAGATCTATCAAATTGGTATCAGAGCTCCAATCTTCTTGACATGTGGTAGCTATGGCAGAGAACACGAGGCTCCAAGAATTGCGTCGGAACCTTTCTGAGTTCTAAAGAAAACACGATGCGGATGTGGCTAACTTGGACAAGAGGATGACGACCATGCAGAATGTTATGACGTCCATGGAGAACACTCTAAGGGAAGAAATTGCTAAAGTTTTGCAAGCCGTGTCAGCTAGAAGAGGTGCAGGACCATCAAAAAGCAATCAAGCTTCCCAAAGATAGGCGTGTTAATCGATTTACATTATAAGATCTCCTGAAAACCCTATTTCGAGTGATCCTGTAGCTAGTATGACTAAGTTTGGTAAAGTTGATTTTCTTAGCTACAATGGAATAGATAATTGCAGGGGATGGTTGTATGAATGTAATTGGTTCTTTAAGGCTCATAACATTTATGATGAGCATAAGGTGGAAATTGCATCAATGTATCCGCGTGGAGATGCAATTGTGTGGCATGAGTGTTATATGCAAGATAAGGTGACTTTTCCAGACTGGAGGGACTACATCTTTGACATGGGTTTGAGGTTTGGGGAAAGTGAGTTGCAGGATCCCATTGTCTTGTGGAAGAACCTTAATCAGACTGCTAGTGTTAGTGCTTACCAGAAGGAATTTGAAAGGATTAAAGCAAGGGTTACGTGTTTTGAGAGACAATCTGTGGCTATGTTTGTAGGTGGCTTAAAGGAGGAGATCCAACATGCAGTAACCTGTTATAACCCAAAATCTCTAGTGGAGGCTTTTGCTATGGCCAAACAATAGGAACTATCTGTGAACTCCATATTGAAGAAGGTTCGGGCTCCATTGCCATCCCTTAAAAGCTTACCCCCTTTATTGCCCTTGCCTCAAGATTCACAGAGGTTACCACTTCCAAATTCCTTTAAATTTCCATCAATCAACCCTAGTAACAACCCTCTAATATCTACTGTAGCTAAGAATAGACCAAGGAATATTAGAAGCTTGTTTGAGGCTGAAGTAGAGGATAAGAAGCAGAAAGGGTTATGCCTTTGGTGTGATGAGAGATATGGTCCAGGGCATAGATGTAGCAAGAAGAAACTCTGTAACCTGGAGATAATTTCTATAGATGAAGATGCTGGAAGTGTAGAAACTAATGATGAGAATTTTGATTTTAATCAGATGCTTATCAATGAGCCATAGATTTCAATCCATGCATTGACTGGTGAGGTGGGTTATAATACTATCAAGGTGATAGGTCAAGTGGGCAAAAGGTAGATTTTGATATTGATTGATCTAGGAAGTACCCATAACTTCCTTAATGCTAAGCTGGCCAAAGAGCTAGCATGTGAGATGGAGGGAGCAAAGTCTTATCAAGTCACTTTGGTTGATGGTAGCAAGATAACAGGGGCTAAGAAGTGTGACAAGTTGGAATGGGAAGTCCAAGGGCATGTGTTTACTACTGAAGTGATGTTGTTGCCATTGAGGGAATATGACCTTATCCTGGGAATACAGTGGTTAGAACCTCTTGGCCAATTCCTATAAGACTTTAAACTTAGAACTTTGCACTTCAAGTATAAAAGCCAATTAGTTCACATAAAGGCTGCCCCTAAACCAATAACTTCCTAATTCCCTAATCCATTGGTTCATAATGGGCAACATCTCCGTCCTGACAAAATTTTAGAGAAAAGGGTGCAAAATTGTCATGGGAAACTTGGGAAACGTGTTACTATGTGGTTAATTCAATGGAAGGGGTGCACTGCTAAGAAGGCTTCTTGGCAAATCAGTGCTAACATCCTCGCTAGGTTTCTAGATTTTCGTCCTAATCCTTGATGATAAGGATTTTAGAGAGGGAGGCATTTGTTACGGTCCATTTATCTGTGCTGGGTTGGAAATATGGGTTCATTGTTAAGGAGTTTGTTGAGGCCTATAATTGTAATTGCCCTTATGTAAGAGATGGCTTTGTAACCGAAAGTCTATTGACTGATGAATACAAATAGACTTTCCTCTTCCTTCTATCTCCTTCTTGATTCTCTCTTCTAATCTCTATCTTCTTCTTCTTGAATTCGTTTCTCTTGATTCTCCTTCTAATTCTTCTTTCTAATTTCAAGATCTATCAAAAGAAGACAATGGAGAAGAAGAGAGAAGTCGAAAGGGAGAGGAAGAACCATTTTCATTATTCATCAAAAAAGCCCCTTTCTGTTACATCATCGACTTGGCCTTTTATAGCCTCTTTACATGCGTACTACCTCTATTAGCCTAGGTACTACCTTATCACAGCATATCTAAATTGGGTATGCATCACAAACCCAGAAAATCGAGGGTGGAAATAGCAAACCTTTGAAGGAATAGGAAATCCGCATGTAGCAGAAGAAGGTGTTAACGGGAAAGCTATCAATGATTGAGAGGTACCTGCTTGGGGTAGTTTCTTGCAGTTTCCAACGGGGAAACTGTAGAAGCACAAAAACTAAAAGAAACATTATTGCTAAAACGTCAACCGTGCTTGTCGTTTTGGGCCGCCGCTTGCCCTCTAAAACCCTAGCTCCATGTTCAGAAAAACCCCTCTGTTTCAGAATATATGTTAAAAGCTTGACCTTTTGGCCAAAACCGAAAAGCCCTAGAGACAAAATCCGTTTCGGCGATGGCTTCGCTCGCCAGCATCGCGCTGGAGACTCTCTCAGCCTCCAGTCGTAGCTCTGAGAAGCTCAGACTGCCAGCTCTACAATCAAAAATGAAGACCGACCCGGAAGGTTATCAAGCGGAACTCCAACTTATCCTCAGCCAATTCAGCTCATCTCTCGTGCACTTCCAGCAGCAAGCCGCTCTCAACTTCAATTCAATCACTGGTGTCGGTGCGGACCCTACCATGGCCAAGGATCTTGGGGATTTTGCCATGTTCTTGGCCCATGTCACGCCGTTTTATCCCAAACAGCTTAATGAATTTCCCAAAGAGCTTGTTGCGTTTCTTACATCTTCGGCGAGGACCCTTCCTTCGGGTCTCAGATGCAATATCGCCCAAGCTCTGATTCTTCTCGTTAACCGTAAGGTGAGTTGGAAATCCTCTCTTTCATTGAGGATTATGTTAGTTTTGTTTTTATGATTGTCAGAATTGCCAATTGGCATCTGAGGATTGTTCTGGGTTTGTCTTTCCAAACATTATCACTTCAGTGTCAACATTTTAGTACTTAAGTTTAATTATCACCTCATGTTTTGGATTATATATTGGATTATTATGTTTCTATTTTTGATGTGATTGTTTGTTTCTGGCAGATAATCGATCTAAGTGAAACTCTGTCATTGTTCATGGAGCTGCAGACTCTTGGTGATAGGAACATGAGGAAATTGGCTTTTTCGCATGTGGTTCATAGTATTAGGCGTATGAATAAGAAGCATAAGAATGAGGCAAAGAATAAAGCTCTCCAACATATCTTGTTTGAAATGTTGAAGGTTTTTGACAACCCTGATTTTCTATTTTTGGATTTTTTTTTAAAAAAAATTTTTATGGTTACTTACTTTCAATTAAATGTAAATTTCTTTACTTATTTTGTAGCAAGAGGATGAAGCAAGAGCCAAAAGATCTCTGGTTACACTATGTGAGCTATACCGAAGAAAGGTGTGGTCAGATGATAGAACAGCAGAAGCAATTTGTTATGCATGCTTTCATTCATCATCAAGGTAAACCTCATTTTGTTATTGATGTTTTCCTTTTATGCTTTTGTATTTTTGTAACATTTTAGCTGAATTTTTCAGGATAATGATTTCTGCTCTTTTGTTTCTCCTTGATTACGAGAAGATTGAAAATGATGATGATGATGATAGTGATGCTTCTAGTAGTGAAGATGAAACAACACAATCACCTCAAGTTGTGATAAGTAAAGAGGCCATGTACAAGGTAAGTTGAATGGTTGCACCCTTTGATCAGTTATCCATTGCATTTCTTTTGAACTACTTTTCTAATCCATTTATGCCTTTTGTGAATGCCAGTTTAGCAAAAAATCCCAACTCTAATCAATTATGTCATGCATGCTTAAAATGCTTGGTTGTATGTAAATGAATATTATGTTCTGACAAAATGATCAATCTTTGGGCAAATTTCTAAGTTTTAATTCTCACATCTTGTGTATGATGTTGAATTTTGATGTTTGTCTTTAATATTTTTTGGTGATCTTGTTATGATATGGAACATCTATTGCTTTCATTTCTCTTCCTTTTCTGTAAATGAGTACTGTTACTTCTGTATTAAAGTTCTCTGCTTGATTGAATTCCAGGCACACCATAAGGGTACAGCTGCTAGCAAGAAGAAGAAGAAAGCTAAACTACAACGTGCAATCCGTAGCATGAAAAGGCAGCAACGGATGTCGTCAGAAAGCAGCACTTATATTTATAATTCACCTCTTAACTATCTAAAAAATCCACAGGTTTTGCACTTTTCAGTGCTCTATTTATTCCAACTTAGTAGAATAGTTTATTTGTGGTAATTTTCAAATTCCATTCTGTTCACAGGGATTTGCTGAAAGTTTATTCTCCATTCTTAGAACTTGCAATGAACGATTTGAGGTGAATGCTTTTCTCGGTATTATCCAGATTTGTTTTGCCTCCTATGACTTGTGCACTTGTCTTTTAGCAAGACATATTTTTTATTCGTTAATAGTTTTTAATTTCATCCTGCTTCACATGATTTGCATCTAGACAAGCTTAAAAACACTGGAAGGAATGAATGATTAAAGTTTATTGCATGGCAGTCAAGTTTTGGCTCATTCATCAACTTTTTATAAGTAATGGCCTAGGTTATGTTGATTCTCCTGCTTTGGGTAACTTCAGGTTAAAATGATGATGTTGAAAGTGATTGCTAGAACAATAGGGCTCCACCGCCTGATTTTATTGGATTTTTATCGTTTCCTTCAGAAGTATGTTCAGGTATGTTATCCTTTTTTTTGGCCTTTAAACAATAAGTTATGTTATCTTTACTGAATTTTTTTGTCTCCCTGGATAATTGGAGTATTATTGTATCTAAATTTGCAGCCACATCAAAAAGAAATCACGAGTTTACTTGCAGCAGCAGTTCAGGCCTGCCATGATATGGTACTGTTGGCTTTTTCACTCAATTGGTTGGGTTTTATGCAGTAATTTTTTTTCTTGTAAATTTGGGCACCATTGTTAGCATGACTTCCAAAATTTTGGAAAGAAAAACTGGAGTGAAAAATGACAACTGCTTTTCTAAAGTAGAGACACATGTTTTTAGGTTTTAGAAAGTTGTAGAAATTTGTTGTCAAACTAAAAACTGACAACCTAAGTAAACACATTTCTGAAAACTAAGAAAGTAGGAAATAGAACTGATACCAAACAGACCCTTAAATTTTATTTATTTATTATTTTTATTATCAATTCAAATAACATTGTTTAAGCAGGTCCCTCCTGAAGCAGTTCAAGACTTATTTAAGCAACTAGTTAATCAATTTGTGCATGATCGTTCACGTCCAGAGGTACTGGTCAACAGCTGCTTGTAATGGTTCATATCTTTGTTTTAGTTAGAGATTAATTTTTTCTTTTTACCTTTTGTGGTAGGTTATCGCTGTTGGACTAAATGTTATCAGGGAAATATGTCTTCGAATGCCTTTGGTAACAATCTATCTCTTTCATGTGCCTTCCAAGTACATGGGGGTTGCTTTAAGCCTTTAATTGAATTCAACTCATTGCGCTAGGTCTATATCTGCCTTCTGTGGTACTTTGCAATTTATGATCATTTCTTTCTTCTTATCAGTTGATGACAGAAGAATTGTTGCAAGATCTTGCTTTATATAAGAAATCACATGAGAAGGCAGTTTCAGCTGCATCTCGTTCACTCATTGCATTGTTTAGACAGGTAAAATGCCTTTCTGGGCTCTTGTGTCTTTTGCATGCATCATATTTCATTCTTCGCTGCACAATTTGTCAAATTGTTTTGTTCTACTTTATTGTCAGGTTTGTCCTTCGCTGCTGGTTAAGAAGGACCGAGGGCGTCCAATAGACCCAAAGGCAAGGCCAAGAGCATTTGGAGAAGCTAATGTCCTCACCAATGTACCTGGTGCTGAGTTATTACAACAGGATATTAAAAACGATGACAGTGAAGATGGGGATGACAGTGATGAGATTACATCAATGAATTCTGATGATGATCTTGATGAGAATGAGAATTTTGCTTCCAGTGATGATGAACTAGAAGACCAACTACATGGTTATAATAATGAAGGTAAAGATGATGATCTAGTAGAAGAAGAAGAAGAAGAAGACGATGATGATGATGAAAATGAGGATGACAGTGATATAAGTCTTGATGCTGATGAAGAAGAGGAAGACGGAAGTGTTGATGCAGAGGAGGTGGAAGCTGAAGAAGATGAGGAACATGAAACAAATGACAATGCCATTGAAGACGGTGGACAGGAATTGACCAAATCTAAAGCAAGAAAGAGAAAAATCTCAGATTTTGATGGTCAACTTGTTGCTGCTGATACAAGTCTTCGAGCTCTGAAGAGGTTGGCAGAAGCGAAATTGGGTGGGCCCACATCAGACTCAACAGATGGTATTCTTTCTAATGAGGATTTCCAGAGGATCAAAGAACTAAAGGTAAGCTAAATTGGTGTGAATTAGATCTATCTAGGTTGGTGATGAAAATGGTGTGACCTTTTTAGTTTTAGAATGCTAAACGCTTATCTTTCAGATATATTTTAGCTAAATAAATTTGGACATTAAAGAGTAATGCATTTGTTATTGGGCACCTCTTTGTGTTATATTTTCAGGCAAAGAAGGAGGCAAAGATTGCTTTAGCTCAACAAGGGTTTAAGGTTCCAAGTTCTGAACAACTGAGTGTTAAACGAGTCGATCCTGCAATGCTTGAAGTAGGTCTTTTGTGTACTTTGTCTTCCATGATTTATGCACCTTTTAGCTGTTGCTTATGGGTGCCTGTTGGTTATTGCCATGCCATTCTTTCTTTTAAAGACATTGTTTCCTACTTGAAAGGGTGCTTGTACTAGAACCAAATCTTGACCCAGTTAATGTTCTGTTAATAGGCACATATTCGACATAAGCTCACCAAGGAGGAAAGACTTGCACTAGTGAGAGCAGGAAGGGAGGACAGGGAGAAGTACCAGGCTCGAACTGCTGTAAAACAGAAAAAGGTAAAGTCTAGTTTTCATTTTATTAAGCCTCTTTTCCCATAATATTAGTTATCAAATATGGTACTTGTTTCATCATAAAAAAGCTTTTATATTATCTGTTCTATTTTATTAACACCTCTCTCACTCTTAATAGTTTCTAAATAAAATAAAATAAAATAAAAGCCTTATGGTTGGATTCTTGGTAGTTTGCTGCGTAAAATCTCATGATTTTTTTTTTTTTTCTCTTTTCTTTTTCATACTGTATATGTTTTCCTCCCTATTGAACATTTTAGGTTAAGAATCTAGGTCTAAAGTAAGATGCTT